GAATTTAAATAACTTTCAAGACACTGTGCATACATTCTCCTACTGTTAATATTAAATCAATGTATGTTTCTACTGCATTTCTGAGATTTGGGGGTTTAGAAGGGAATTAAAAGGGTTGCCATTCTGAAAATAAATGATGTATAAGCCGAAATACAGTTTTCTGGGCACTGCACCATTCTTTAACTAGCTAAGAACCCAGTTTTGTCTGTTTGGGTACAGGATGAACACCAGTGGTCCAAATCAGGTGCTTCCCTTACTAAATAGAACCAGAAATTCTTCAATTTATGAAAGACACAAGCAGGTAGACTCTGAAAGTTGGAAAGAGAAAGGTGGATTGGTTCGGGACTCCAGGATCAGGCATCAGCACAGTGGCTGGACACCTTAAGTCCCCACCCTACAGAAGAAAGTGACCTAGGCCTCCTGGTTCCCAGAACCCACTCTGGCAATGAGAGGTGCCTCAGGTAAACTCATTCCCCTCTGTATTGAGAGGGAGCCCTGCCAGCAACACCAGCAAGGCTGGCATGACCAGCAAGGGGGATCTGTCAGGAGACCTGCTAACAGTAAGTAGCCAGAGGAAGTGGTTCTGCTCCCCAGCAAGTCACACCAGGGTAGGTGTGTCTGAGGGGGACCAGCAAAGGAGTCCCATGACCACAAGTGCTCCATCCAGGAAGCCTCCGTGGCCCTCAGGGCGTGAGACTCACGTCCCCCATCCAGAGACACCTGATAGAATGGCATTTAAAATGTTATATGCACAAAATACACAGGGAAACTTAATAGCTCACTTACTAATACAGCTCACTGCATCAATACGAATGAAGAGTGACATCAAAGTGCATACTATATGGCTTCATTTATAAAAATTCAAAACCACATAAAGTTTATTTGTAATATAACGGTCAGGGCAGTGGTTTGAGCATGATGGAGGCGAAGTGTCGAGGGCATGAACATGGGCCGGGCTGCTGGGCTGGAAACTCCTGTTTTGTGACCTGACTTGTATTACAGGAGTCCATTCACTTTGTCATAAATCTGCACCATCATGATGGTATTATATCTAGTACAATTAAATAGTAAAATTCAATTTAGAAAAAAAAATTTATAGAGGCATGGTTTTCCATAAATAGCAAGAATGGGTAATAATTAAAATGTGCATTAGCAGTGTATTAATTGAAATAAACTATTGTGAATTCAAACAACAAAATAGTATATAGACCTGAAGATAATGTAACTAAAATATGCACAATATGAGGAATTCTACAAATATCATATTGAATGTAATAAGCTTCTAATAAAGTGTTTTTAACATTTAACATCTTACCATTTCTTCTTCATTATCTATGTAAAGCAGATTAGAGTTGTTAGAAGCACAGGCCGTCACACTCTCATCCCAAGTTTTGAATTCCTTACTAATGTAATAACAACTGGTGGAGTATGTGAACCACTCCTCTGGACAACGACCACAGT